AACAAAGGTCTGTAGCCAGCAGCACCGAAGAGCTCAGAATGAGCAGGGAAGACTTGTCAGATGCCCAGAAAGCTCCTGAGATGGCTACAAAGCCACCAAGACCCTCTCCAGCCCCTCCACCCCTCCAGCACTCGGTCCTCACGCAGAGGAAAGGAGATGGGGAGCAGTTCCCTTTTGGAAGCTGGCTCAAGCCTGGCTCCTCCTGTCTCTTCGCACTGGGATGGAGCATGATGGAGGTGGGCAAAGTTGCAGCTAGGCAAGGAAATAGGGTCTCTCCCTAAGGGCTTAGCTTACAAAGCACCGTCATGAAGCAAAAGAAAACGGTGAGATGGACGCAGATACATCCATCGAGATGGCAAACCACCAGCTAGACTGTGACAAGACCGAAAGCTCATTTACCCTCTGCCCCATGCAAACGGAGGAATAGCTGTAGGTCAGTATCGTCACGGTCTACACTTTTCCCAGCTCTGCGCAAAAGTGCCTGACGCTGGGTGTCACCATGTCCCTGCCACACAGGGCAGCGAGCCAGACCCTGCTCTTCTTGGGCTTTTCTCCAGTGCTCCCATAGCAGGAAATATTTTGACACAAGGGGAAAAGCACTGATGCAAGAAGGTAGGACACAAAAGTACTGAAGTCAAGAAGGTAGGATCTGCCCATTGCTGCTCTGCCCTGGCTAGCGTTGATCCACCGCTGCGAGCCTTGCCGTGCAGGGCAATTGTGCTTTTCACCCAAAATCCCTGTCAAAGGATGTCCCTGGCTCTACACCAAAGAAATATGGGCCCAGAGGGACCATTGATGATGGTCAGTGGGGTCAGATGAAGCTGAAGGATGCCCAGGCAAAGCCTTGCCCCTGGGGTAGGCTCAGGGCATCGCCGACGGTGGCTTGGTACGGGCTGGCTGCTGCGGGGAGCTGCCGGAGAGCACATCTACGGCTCGATAGGAACATCCTCCTATTGCAAGGGTTTGCTGAGAAATGGGCCAGAGCGAGCCTATCCTCAAGACTCCTGCAAAGAAAAGAAGGCTGTTGTTAAACAAAACCCGGGGTGCAAGAGCATTGCTCCGCTCCCCCAGCAAGCTGGGAATGGATCACTCTGGGCTGGCTGTGAATTGCAGCTTAGCAAGCGCCAAGGGAAAGCAGAGGAGCCAGGGAATGATTTGTCACTTGCAATTTCTCAATCGATATCCAGCTCCTGACGTTTGCAAACAAAAAGGCAAAGGAGGGAAAGTGGCAGGTGCCAGAGTGAAACCGAAATGTGATATTGTGGGTGGAAAGAGACTGCCAGACCTGAAAAGCCTCCAAGCAGGAAAATCAAAGGGGAGGAAATTGCAAGAGAAAAAAAAATACTTGCAATCAAAAGATGCTACATCTGGAGACAGCCCACAGCAAAACAGCAACGGGTCTGTATTCTCGCAGGTGGGCTTGGGAAGAAGTCCAGGCTCCAGGAGGTCTGAGCCCACAGGATCCAGACTCAGGCTCAGAAAGAAGCCTTCCCCACACAAGAGCCTTGGAGAGAAAACAAATGTCTCCGCAGCCGGGGCAGAGCAAGAGCAGCACAGTAGGCTGGTGCCCATACTGAGACTTATGCAGCTTCATGACGGAAAAGATGCAGCGGTCACGGTGCCAGCGGTGAGATCCAAACTCACGCTGCCTGTACCCCGGAGCTCCTGGGCAAGGGGCAGCAAATCAAGGTCACCTAAAAAGCACCAGCTCCGCTCAGCATCTCCCGTGTCCAGGCTTGGGAGCTGGCTCTTGCTTGCTGCCCAAGCCTGGGTGGTGCAACCCAACATCCCCAGTACAGGCAGTAAAACACCTGCAGGCAGCTTTGCAAAGACCAGCACAAGAGATGCTGTGGTCTTGATGAGAGCTGGGAGCAAGCAGGCATTAGGTTGCCTCTGTTTTTGGAAAGCTCGCATCCAAACCAGCCATCACCTCCCTGCAAAACCCCTTCCACCAGGGATCTGCCACACCTCGCTGTAGTGAGGGCACCGGAGGGGATGCAGCAGTGCCGGATGCCCTCTGCACCATGGTGAACCTCCCAGTTCATAACTGGTTTCCAGACATTAAAAGCACAGCGCTGACAGCCCAGGAGAATAAAACACATTAGAGGGAGAAAAGTCTGGCCGCAGGATGCAAGTGGAAGAGAGCAGATATGGCGGAGACAAAAGGAAGGAAGGAACAGGATTAAAGACAAATAACAGTTAAGTCCAGAATCAGGCAGGACGGCTTGGTGGGATTAGTGCATTCGTCTTTCATCTCCCTGGGGATGGGGGTATTTATCTTCCTTTCTGGCCTGGCGTAACGCCTGCTGCAGTCCATGGAAGTCCTTCAGCTGGCTTCAAAGAGTGCGAGAGCGGGGTGTAAATAAGAGGATGAGATGGGAGCCAGGCCTGACATAGGCTGGGCACTTTGCCTGCTATGCTGAAAGCAAACCCAGCTTCCCGCTCCCATGGGGTGGCCGTGGGAACCCTTACCGGGTATGAGGGGGGCATCTGCTGATGCTGATCATTATACCTTTGCTGATGTCCTCGTACTCCAGCCAGAGCTGCCGCTGGACCTGCCTGTTGGGATACCAGATGGAGCAGGACTCCTCGAAGCCGTACACTGCCTCCTGGATGTAGTGGTTGCCAAACTGGTCCAGCAGCGCCATGAAATCTCCACGGGATGTGGCCCCATCCAGAGAGTGGAGTGCATTGCTAAAGGCTGGGGAGGAGATGGGAGGAGATGCTCAGCTCCCAGAGGACCCCAAGCACTTACCACCTCCCTACATACTTGCGATGGGCAACCAACCTCTGAACCCATCGCCTGCCAGAAGAAGGCCGTGTGTCCTCTCACCACCCCTTTTTACCCTTCTTCTCCCCAGCCCCGCATGCTTACACTGGGAGATGGTCAGCTGGTTGAGTCGGACATGGTACATGACGGACTGCACCTTCCAGTGCTGCAAGAGGGGGTACCCAGACACCTCACTGAAGTTCACCATCCCTGTCGGAGAAAGGACACGGGGGCTCAGCACCACTGCCCATGGGGACGGATGTAGCCCCTTGTGCCAGGCCTGGGACAATGCAGCCAGCGGGGTGGGAAGAAGCTGGGGGAAAGGACTGTGCATGCACCATGTCCCCCCGGGGAGGTGATGAGGCATTCAGAGCTGAGGGTCAGCTGCTCCCCAGCAATTAAAATCATGGCTTTGAAGGAAAACACGTGGGCTCATTTCATCCCGCCGTCTGGGGCTCTGCGTCAGAAAATAACGAGCCTCCTCCTGCATCCCCTCCTGCTTCCTTCCCGGCGCCTGCTCCCAAGACATGCCCAGGTGTGCTAATTATTTCACTAATGAGAGTTGCGCTTTTTAATGAGCTGTTTGCAGGCCTGGGAACGGTCACCGTCATGGTACGTGTGCACAAGTGTGGCCAACCAAGAGGCCCTGGGTCCCCTTTGGCCAGGACCGAGCCAGGCGGGACACACACATACGGGGGAAATCGCATGCCTGTCAATGCTCATACTCCCTCAGGACATTATGGCAACGCTGAGGCTGAGCAGGACCTGGGGCTTCTCCTTCTCCAGGCAAAGACATCCATTTCTCCAGCCATTTAACTGTGTATTACAGGCACCAGAAACTCATGGAGACCAGGGCTGGGCGTCCACTTCATCCTGCCCAAGGCACAAGCCACGGCACGTGACAGCTCAGCTTGCATGGGCAGAGGGACAGAGAGGCCACCAAGCCTTGGACAAAGCCCCAGAAAGGGAATTGAAGGCTGCTCATGGCTCTGATTTTGGTGACGGGAGCATCCCTCGGTGTGCCACAGCAGGATGCTGGGACACGGCCACCTCCTCCCTCGCAGCTCGGCTGCCGTACAGCCAACACGGCACGGTGCAGCCTCCGCTCAGCAGCAAAGCAGCAAACTCCACTGCTAAACAGCCACGCAGCAGGAGTTCAGGAGGATAACAACGGGCATCCCCTGCTTTGTGACAAGAAATGAAGGTGGCGGATAAGGAGGAGAAGATCGTTTGCCTTCAGTGCCTCTCCCTTTGGTGCTGCCTGCTACCAACAGCTTCAAAGTCTTTCCCTTCTCTGCAAAGTGTTTATGCAAAAGCAGTCCTTCCTTACTCAGCAGCTCTGCCTCTCATCTATTCACAGCAATACCCAGATCTGCTTACTGACAAGCAGAGAAGATTTTACTTTTTTTTTTTTTTTCCGCCTTAATCAGCCACGAAGAGCCAGCAGAGCAGTGGGAAATGAATAGGATAATTTACAGGCTTCTGTCTCTCCGGCATAATTGCCAGCGGAGTCCCAGTCCCACCAGCCCTGCCGTGGTGCTGAGGTCGCGGTGGTACTGCCTTCCTCACACACATGTAATTATGTCAAGGGCAGCAGAGACCCATCAGGAGGCAGATGTCCTCCAGCACCTCCAGGCAGGGCTGAGCATCCTCACCGTTGCAGGGGTGACCCACCGACACAGCTCTCTTGGAGTAGCTCAGCCCTGCCAGGACCCGCCGGCACCCTCCTCCCTGCCTGCATCTGCCTGCACACACACCTACATCACCATGCACCCTGTCGGGGCAACCAGCACCCATCGGAGCCTGGGTGCAGTCCACAAGAGATCCCCAAAACCCTCCTGAGAGCTCTGCCAAATGAAGCGAATGCACAAAGTCTTGTATGAGACTATCCTGCAAACACCTTACTATCCCCATCCCTCATTTAGTAGCTGCCTGGTGTCCTCAGCCATTTCAGCCAACAGCAACACGCACCAAGGAAACAAAGGCTATTGTAAGGGTGCTGGCAACTTGGTGGAGGAAAGGTAAATCCTTGAACGTTGTCTACGAATCTATGATAACCCTATCGCTCATGGCCCATGATGTTCTGGCAGGACAAACCAAAACATTTTGGTGTCGTTGCAGCAGATTTTGAATGTTTCGTTATGCCAGCAAAGGGTTTCTGATTTGGAAATCAAATGAAAAGTATTTAGAAAGCTTTTTGGCCTTGCACAAAAAAAAAAATAAAATCCTTTTTTGCAAATACTTCAAATATCCAATGGACACCTGAGATTTTATGCCACACAATTAATTGACAGCCTCTCCCTCTCCTTCATTCTTAATGCCTCCCTCTTACCACTGCTGCTGCTGGAGGTAAGCACGGGATGCTAAAGTCGGACTAGATGTATCCCATGGTAGATATATCCCCTGGGAGGGTGAGGTGCCGACACCGGGCACGCCAGCAGCTGTCCCATTGGGACAGGCGTGGGTCCAGCCGGATTCACTCACCAGTCAGGAACTCGGGGTCGGGCGTGGGGTCGGAGAGCTCCTCTTGGCACTGGTTCTCCAGGGGCACCGTGGCCACCACCAGCCCATCTGGCAACTGCTGCTCCAGGCCCCGGGCAAAGTTGTTCTGCCTGGAAGTTAATTGCAGAGAGGAAGGCAGGGCTAGAGGACAGAGGAACTGCCTGGGATCATGTCCACCAGCCGCTGACCCATCCTAAAAAGCCATCCAACCCCAAGCCTTTAGTTTGGGCACAAGTTACAAAGATGTCTGCTCTCGACAGAAAACTGCAGTTGCGCCCTCCCCACCAGACCCTCCAGCTCCTGCAAAGCTTGGCCAGACATGGATGGACCAGGCAGTCTGCTAAAGTCCAGCCCCAGGCTGCTTCCCACGCCTTCTTCTTGGAGAGGATGGTGAGGTCTGACCCTGCTGGGGTCACCTCCCCACCTCCCCGACTCACCTGAACGTCCCTTTGAGCACCTGCCCCGCAGCCACCTCCTTGGAGTGGTTGTTGTAGCCATAGAAGATCTCCCCAAAGAGCGTCTGGTTCATGGGCAGCTCACGGGGCTCAACCCAGTCCCCCGGGTCCGGGCACCAACACA